TGACGAAGCGAAATCCCCCACCCTAAAAAAGCACAGCGGCCTTGTAGGGCTTTTGCGAACCTTCTGAGGCACCCAGGCTTGCCGCACGCGGCGCTGCTTTTGGCAGCGGCGCCCCGAAGGTGTTGAACTCAGAGGTCATCACCACCGCCTCGACGTATACGGTGGCCGTACAGGTTCGGGTTTAGAAGTCAAAGGGACGAAGTGCCGCACTGCGCAACCGTTCACGGGCGTGGATTGGGGAGTCAGGGTTTGAAGTTAGAAAGTTGGTTTGGCCGTGTCTTGCATTTGGGTTTCGGCTGTACTCAGAGTTTCGGAGACGGTGTGAGCCAAAGCCTTGGGCCCCAGTAACAACACAGTTCCCAGCGGAGGGTATGCGCGACCGCCCGGACGAACACCTTCAGACAGAACTGGGCAAGCACAGGGTTTCAGATGCTTGCAGAAAGATCCCTGTAAACATCTGCTAGTCACTGCTAGTCATGGATTAGGCTTGGGAGATTTGGAAAACAGAAGGGCGTGCTTCAGAATCGCGGATTGTGTGTTGAGGTTTCGGGCTCGGGCTTCGAAATCGGACGCCAGGGTTCTCGGATACGACGCCCGGGACTGGAATTAGCTAGGGCATGTCGACGATCGCCCCGACATCTCCTGAACCTTAGTCTGGGCCTCTGAATTACCTCGTGCACCCCGGTGCGACCATACTTGCAGGGAGAACCGCATGGGCATGAGAACCGTATCTGTTTGGGATCTCGCCACCCTCCCCCGCCTGTTGAGCACGCTTCAGTTTTTGGGCTTTCGGCGCGCGCCGATAGGCACTGCCTTACACGAAGGTTGACCCATGTCGATTGCGATGACAAAGCGCTGACACCTAATTAAGTCTAACCAGTTGCGAACCACGTCTTTTGCAACGTCGGTGAGGCGGCCGCCTGCGCCATGCACTCTCTTTCTCAACAACACGCAAAGTCTGCAGCGCTGCCATTTACGAAGCTTCCCATTCTTGCAAGCAGGCCGTTAGTCCAGCCTGTGAGCAGGACGTCCAGCTCCTCGATGGTGGCGTTCTCATCTCCCAGATCGGAGACAAGTCGTCCCATGGGACAAATCTCCTCCCAGGACAGGGCGTCGTAGGCGTTGGGCCGGATGCCGAAGCCTTTGCCGCTGTCGCACCGGTCGCTGACCCCGCTCCTGCATGTGTGCAGGAAGGGTCGGAGAGGAGCTCTGCCTATGGAAAGTGCGGGGTGTGGGGCCGGTCGCTGCCAGGTGGCTTGATGATGGAGGACATGCCGTTGAGGAATCCGATGAAGTGCGGCGGCGTGAAGATCTGAAACTCGGGAGCCACTATTTCTCGCCTTAGCAACACTAAAGGCAACCAAACAACCACAGAAAGCAAAAAGCACAGGCCGCAGCTTGTGAAACATCGATGCAGTTGGAACGGCTCTGACACATGTCTCTGCACACTCTATACAGACAAGCATCACGGCCACGAGCTGCTCGGACTCGAGCTCCGGTTCCGGCATGCTCGTCGTCGGCATGGGCACGTTGAAGTCCTGGCTCAACCACCGCTCTGGAGGGACATCGGGATACGGACCCAAGTTGTTTGGGCTTGGGGCTAAAGGCTTTTCGAGACTAGGAAGCGACTGCGACTACAGTCGGGAAAGCGGGAATCGAGCTGAGGCTCGGCCAAGTAGAAGTTGAAAACGCTCGGCGACTGGAACGGAAACTGGCCCAGCACGTCTTGGAGCTCGCGAAAGACCACGTCTTTATGGGCCACGTCCTGATATTCCATGGACCTCATGAAGTGAAGCACCTTCAGCATGGGTTCCCGCAGGCTGCCGTGGAATTGCTGGTACAAGTGGCCATCCATGTCGCCGTCGCTGTGTAACAGGACGGCCGCGACGGTGGCGGCCAAGTCACCGTACTTTCCCGAGAAAAGCATGCCTCCGTACTCCCCTTCCCGGAATGCAAGCTGCACTGCCTCTACATATGCCGCTGAGGGGTTCGACGTGCCAAATCTCTGGATGAGCCTCTTGCTGATGAAAACCGCAGTGTTCTCGTGCATGAACAGCTGATCTAAGAGGCTCTCAACTTCTGCCAGCGCGGCTGCATCCGCTTGCCTTGCGCCCTGGTCCCTCAGAAATGCGGGTGGGTTTCGGAGGGTAGAACCGGCGACATGCACAGTACTCATGGTGTTCTTGTAGAACTTACCGTCCACCTTGAAGATCGTGTTGGCCGTGATGGCCGGACCGTCTCCAGGAAGGTGGAACACCTCCACATCCCCCCCGCATACTGAGCACGTCGTGTTCGGCACGTATGCCCCGACGAAGAGCTGCTTGACTGCATCCACTTTGGAAGGTGTCTCACTGAAGACCGCCCCAGCCTCGATCTTCAAGAACTGCATCCCGCTGGAGGGCACTCCCCCTGTCCATTGGACTGCAAAGTTGTTGGCCTCGACACCATCTGCGCTGGCCTTGCCATCCTCGTGGACAAACAGATGTGAGAAGCAAATGGGTCGGTAGTCGCCCCACTTGGTTCTGCCCACGGGGTCCGTGTTGAAGTACATGCGGCCCCCTCTGTACGAACAGCCCTTGGGATACCAGGTTTTTGGATTGGTGTAGGGATTGCCGTCGTGTGAGCCGTAGACGGCCAGAATAGCCTGCTCGCAGGCAGCCTGGTCCTCAATATGCGAGCCATCTGGGCAAAACTCCGCCTCTTCGAGGGCAAAGAGGCCGACCGAGGCATTGAATGGCACTGCCTTGAAATACGAGTATACGCATGGCGGAGGGATGAAGATGTAGTGCCTGGCGTCGACCTTGACGATGCTGACGTCGCCAGCCGCACACTCCGCACCAGCGCACTGCAGGGTCTTGTCCAGCAGCAAGGTAGCAGGGAAGGTGCACTCATTGCCAACTTTGGAGCAGAAGGCATCATAGAGTCCGGAACCCTGGGAGACTTCCAGCACCTCCCCCAAGTGATCCACGGGATAGAACTCAAAGCGGGCACCCTTGGCAAGGAACTTGTGGACCCCTGGCTCGGCACAGGAAGGGAGCCCATCGCCCAGGAAGCCGCCGTAGAAGTCGGGCTTCGGGTGGACATCATGCCTCTGGGAGTCCATGATCATCGGATCGATCAGGTTGTCGTCGTCTTCGTTCTCGATGTTGGGTCGGAAGGGTCGCTCCCGGAAGCCTGTGAAGACCTTTGCAAAGTTGACGATCTGCTCCATGCCGTAGGTCGGGATGCTGTTGTTCTGGGCATCCCTCTGGAGTGTCCCGTTCGGGTGCAGCAAGTCCAGGCCCACCTCGCCAGCACACGATGCAATTTCGGGGTGACCCTCTCGCTCGAGAGTGGTTTGATGAGGGCTTCTGCAGCCGAGCCGCCGAGAAGAGCTGCATAATCTCACGGGCGTAGTTCTCGTTTGGGAAGCGGCCGTTGTAGTCGAAGGAGGAGCTCCCTGTGTTGGTAAGATAGCGGCCCATGAGTGGATTGTAGGTGACCTCCCGGAGCACATCGCGGAAGTTGCCAAAGGCGTTGCGGACGAAGATGTCCTTGCTCGCTTTGCAGAGTGCAAGCCATGCAGGCATATGCAGGTATGGGGATGCAACACTTCAAGCTTGGCCGAGGCAGCCGAGGGTCGTAGTAGTTGAGCCACAGCTCAGTCCGGTCGTCCATCCCGAAGCCATTAGCGCTGACGACGAAGATCTGAGACAATGCCCAAGCCACGCGCTGGCGGAGCTGATCCTGACGAGGGGAGAACCCATGAGAACCCTTCCGAACTGAGCGGGAGCTAAACAGGAGCATGAACGGCGCGGTTCCTTGGCAGACAGGGCTTTGGCCGTCCACACGGTCGACTTGGACAACTCATCCGCGAATCGGTCGAAGAAGTGGTTGTCCAGGTCTTGGTCTGCACGATCCCTGGCATGGCTTGTGCTCAGCCGTTCGCCTTTACACTTTAGCCCCTCTCCTCTGGCACTCCTGAGCCCTCGCGAGAGCCTGGTGGTGTAGAACCGAAACTGGTGCCCCTTGGCTGGATCATTGGCCACCTGGGCACTTAACGACTTAACGAATCTTGGCACGCTGCTGCACTGAGCCCAGAATGCTCAGAACCCACCCCGAAATCCGCTCAAAGATCTTGAGGCGCAGCCACCTCGCCCGGTGAGCCACAGGCAAGACAGATCGATGTGCTGGGCGGAGGAGTCTGCAAGGCGCTGGTTGGCACGATCTCCTTGGTGCCGCTGCTGTCAGGGCCCTGCCACCGAAAGCGGATTCCAGCACCGCCGCTGCCCTCGTAGTACTCAATGTTCAGAGCGTGGCCTGAGGGATGCGGGTGACGTGAGCTTGCAATTAGGGTCACCTATGATAGTATCAAACTCCCGTCAGCGACCCCCGGACCCCTCCGCCTCCCGCAGTGAGATTGACCTTGCCGCTCTTTTCCGTCATGCCGTGGAAGCCGCCGTTGTTCACCACCTCGGAGCCATCGAGATCGAGCTTCGACCCATCGTCCGACTCCAGGAAGAACTCGTACTCGCCAGCTTGCTGGATTGTCAGCGTGCCCGTCCAGCGGATGGCATAGTAGTCTCTTGGCAGCTCGGGGGTCCAAGCATTGCTGGAGGAAGGATAGTTAATCTGAGGGTCCAAGAACGCGAAGCTGGGTTGGCTCAATGTCTCGCTGACGAAACCTGAAGGGCTGGAGCTCAGCACGTGCACTTCCGCGCGCAGGCCAGGCACCGCAGGCCCCTCGGGCGAGGGCGAGTGCTCACGCACAGACAAAGCCTACGTGCAGCTTGCGGAAAGGAAAACGAGCTGAAAAGGGCCCTGCCTGAGATTGCAGAATCTCCGGCGCTTTGCAGTTTGCTTCGGTGAGAAAGGATGGGGGCACGCAAAGCCCGGGCATCGGGCTTCCGGGCGTGTTGGTATGAAGCTGAACCCGAGGATGGAAGGCATAGATGCCGCCCTGGGCCTGGCTTCACAGCAAAAGTGGAAGACCGGAAGACCCATCCCCTCTGTGGCTCCCAAAACTCCCGCCTGGATCAAGAGCTGCTCCCCCTGGGCGACCTGGTTGAGAGCCTGGCGTGAGCCGTTCGTGTCGTGGCTGGAAGGGTTCCTTTCTGCCCGGGCCTCGTCCAGCGAGCAGGGCTCAGAGTGACTCTGCAAGAGTAGTGTGTCGGGCAGGCCCTGCTGGAAAGGCATCGAAACGGCCGTGACTTTGGACTGGTCCGACCTCAGATCTGAAGCTAACAACCTCACCGCCGCATCACGCTGTGACGAAGCTAGCCTGGCTGCAGCGAAGCGGCACGAATAGAGCAGGGTTTGGCATGTTCGTCAGTGGCACCGACCAGTGACAGCTTTGGTCGCTGGACAGGTGCACATCGTTGCCGACACCCTCTTCCAGAAAGCAAATGTAGGCAGAGTAGTTCCCGAGTCCTTACGTACAAGCTTGCACATTCGCCGCTTATGTAAAGCGGTGTTTGACATGCACACATGTTTTCCTATAGCTGAGACACCGCTCCAGCGAGAAGCAAACAGGCCAGTCGGAATATCTGAGCGGAATGCGCCCTCCACAAAGATCTGGCCGCCAGCAACCTGGACCTGCTTCCTGTTGTCGCTCAGCATGAAGACGAATCGTCTCCAGCGAGATCCAGGGGAGCAGGGGGTGTAAGGCTTGAAGTCGCGCTCGCTGTCCACGTCGGACTTGTAGAAAGGGTTCACGCGCTCGCGGTAGTACTCGCGAAGGGACTCGACTGGAAGGCTCATCTGCTCCAGGATCCAATCAGAATGGCTCTTCTGACCTGTGCGACAGCTCAACCCTTCAAGCGTCTAGACTCTTCTGGGAAATCTTCGGTGTAGAAACATTTAAAAGGAACGGCTGCACACTCTTGTCTTGTCCGAAGTGCTCAACTCGGACAAGGTCTCGCGTGTAGGCCCGAAGCTGGCCTCAGCAGCGCTCGACATGTCGCGTCTCCGGGCGTCTCCCCGTCTCCCCTTCAGTCACGTGCTGTGCTGCCGTGTCCTGAACACGCTCCTTTCTTCAGAAACATGCCATGCCGAGAAATGCCTGCCAGGTCGCTCTCATCAGGAAACGGGCGTCAGCAGCGCGAGTTCGGGTGATCCCGAGGGCTTCGTAGATTTCCTGCGGCGGGACAAAGTTCGTTGACACGATATCTTGGCATGACTGCACGGGTCTCGCATACGGCGTGTACGGTCCTCGGTTGCCATTTGGGAAATCCTTGAGAGCGTCTCTCGCTGCAGAAAGAGGGAGCCTTGCGAATCCTGCGAGCATCCCTCCTCGCGGGTGCAAGTCGGCTTTCCCGACCCCAGCGGAAGGAAGGCGGCAAGCCACAAGAGCAGGCATGTTGCGCGCTCCATAATTCAAACTTCAAGCAATTCAGATGGGCGGATCGTGCCCATCAAACAATCTCACGAGCCAACAGCCAACAGCATTGCAGCACCGACTGGCATCAAGACGTACACGCGAAGCCTCGCATCGCCTACGTGCGCCTACCAGCGTACAGGGCACGGATTTGAACAAAGCGAGCGAGCTGGGGCCTCATAAGCCCCGGACGGCAAGGCTGAAGACTGCCGTCAGCGCCTGATTTAGCCCCAATGGGCAGGGAGGATGTCCCCTTCCAGTGATTTTCGGAAGCTCAACTGGCTCACCCTGAGACCTTCGTCTAGGCAGCAGACTCCCGCATTGAAAAGCAAGCTCATACCCCACCGAGCGGTCTTCCACCGACCACATCGGGGGGCTTGCACAAAATTTAACAGGTTGAGGATTCAAGGTGTCGCAGCCAGAATCCTTGTTCTTCCTAAACCTGCTTGCAGGCTGCAATCGCGTGGGGACGTTTTGCTGCGTTGCGAGCTTACTCTCTCGAGTCCTTTGGAGATCGCCAGACCCGAAAAAGGGCATCCCAAAACCGCATGTGTTTAGGGGTCTCCTTCGGGAGCATGTTTCGAGGGAGCAAAGCCCACAATTTCCTCGTGTTGCTGATCGGTCTACATGCGACGAGCTGGATGGTTTGGGAGTTTTTGATTTGGTGCGGGTTCAAGCTTGAATCCTAGCGGGGCGACCACTCCGCCCCCTCAACCCTCCTCTTTCACGGGCCACCCAATCAATTTCCCCCACCACCACTGCCCCCGTCCTCCAACAAATTGGCCCCCACCACCACCACCACCACCACCACCACCACCACCACCACCCGCCCCCCAGACAAATTAGCCCGTGCGCGGTTGACATAGAACAGTCTTCCGTCGTCGAGCTGTGCACAAGTGAGGGACAGGTCGCAAAGCAAATTTTTGACTGCGCCGACACTGCTGCATAATGCATTCCTCGTTGACAGCCGTTTTGCCTAACATCCCATAGCGCTGTTTTGCAAGAGATGTCACATCCTAGCTACAGTCGAGCACCTTCTAAACGAATGAACTCTCCAACAGCTTCTGTGAGGTGCCTCTAGGGTCGCAGCTCTCAATGAAGCGGCCGAACACCGAAGTGGAATACTATAAAATACTGGCCCAAACATCAGGCTCTAACACGGCACGGCTTTCGGATTTTCGCAGGCAGTCGGCACCCAGAGCTCTTCGCGTCTCCAAGAGATCTGGGACTATAGGGGTGTCATTGAGGAAAGAACTGCATTCCTTCTGAAATCGATTCTCGCACTGGTTTTGAGGAAGCTGTCGCTTGGCAGGGTCTTTAGATGCATCCACCACGAGTCGGACACACCAGACAAGTCCAAGCTTGCAGCCTGAGCTTGCCAGGGACGTCAGCGCCCTCCTGGGCGCAGACTGAGGGACCGGAGCTCAGAGCGATTTTAGGGAAAAACCTCCACGCGCTTTCGCGGAGCATCTTTCTGAGAATCCAAGCTTGCCGCTACAGTGGCTAGTGGCCTCCAGCACCAACGGAACGAGGTCCTGCGCTCGGAGCAACCCTGGACCGATGCCCTAAACCTCAGAAGAAGCCGGAAGAAAAGCTCCTCATAAACCTGCGCAGGCAAGTCGAGTCTTGTCGGAAACGGAACTCTCGAGCTGCCACAAAGGAGCTCACAGTTGCCACAGCACTGTCCCAGTACAGTACCCCGGCCCTACACACCACCATGGCGATCACTTTGTACTCGTCCTCCGGAGGTAGCCCATCGCCGAAGTCCGCTCTCAAGGGAAGCACCTTCTCGGAGTGGGAGGAGGAGCTTAGCTGAGGATGTGTAGGGCTTGGGGCCCGTCGGAAAGGAGAAAAAGTGGAGACAACCGTCAAGCCTTCAAGTGCTGCCGATCCTCTTTATGCGACAGTATATAGTCACTACAGGGGGCACTGTCCTTGCTCCTTGGCTGGATCTGACCAGGAAGGCACTGCTGTCCACACCAGTCAGCCACTCTGCCGATCCCCTGCCGCGGGCCTTGTGCTCCAACCAGCAGGTTCAGGCGGACTGGGAATCTAGACCAGGAGTTGGACGGATTCGCTACAGTTAGACAAAACTCTGCCGGCTGCAATGCACTATGCGCAAGTCCTCTGCAGCAGAGGACATGCTTCATTCCAACCGACAGCCTATACAGGGTACAGCCATACATGTACTCAAGCCGAAGACTCAAAAACTGTAGTGCACTCCCAAGAAAAACTAAAGGCAGTTGCCAGCCTAGCTCGGAGAAATTAAAATATGGCTCTGAATGCTGTAGGGCTGCACATGTCCCGTGGTGGCCGCAGCAGCACAGAGCACACAGCCCTGCGGACCATGTGCAGGATAAGCCCCTCTTTGGAGCCTGCTCCTAGTTCCTAGGTGCCGCTGCGGCAAGGGAGTTAATTATCAAAACTACGATACTGGCGGCTGGGTGTGCCGCCTCAACAGGTTCAACTGTTAGCTCATGGCTGAAAGATGTAGGCTTCCCCCGGCACGATGGATGAGTTGAAGCGCCCGATGTTCGGGAACACTGCATCCAACGTCTCCTGGGAGCTCGTGTCAAGGCCCATCCACTCTGCAATAGGCTTCAGCATCGCCTCCCATGGATAGGCTGGAATCAGGCGACCACGCCCGAGGTCGTTGTAGGCCCCTTCCTTTAAGCTGGAAGGGAACTGGTTCAGCATCTGCCCACCCTTGACTTTCCCTCCGAGAACAAAATGCTGGCCGGCCCAAGCATGGTCGCTGCCGCCCCCGTTGGAGTCCAGCGTACGTGCAAATTCCGAGGAGCTGGCCAGCACCACGTTGTCCCACATGTTTTGCGCCTTCATCTCTGCAACGAAGCCGCGCAGAGCCCGGTTGATCTCGCCGAACCTGTGCAGGCACGGGCAGGGGAGTCCACAAGGCAAGTCGAAAGTCCGAGAGATTCCTTTGGAGCCTCGAGGTCAGGCCAGACAGCAGGTTCGAGTGCATGTCCCAGCCGCCGATCCTCGCAGCACAGCGGAGCGGCAGAACCGGGGCCCGGTCGCAGATGCCGCAAGAAAGCGCTTCAAAGTGCAAAGACGATGACTCGACAGATGCCGCCGCGGGGCCGGACGAAGAAGAAGTCCCGCTCTGCCTTCCGCACCTCGTGGACGCGAATGAGCTTCGCCACCTGCGAAAGCTGGTTCTCCAGGCTGGAGGACGTGGAGTACTCCGTGGCCAGCTCGACATCCTGAGAGATCTGAGTCACCGCTAGCCGCTAGCAGTGCCTCAACGAGCACATTAAGTGAATCATGTCCGTGTGTGTGTGTGTGTGTGTGTGGACCTCTGTTACCAAGAGGAACCGTTTTTGAAACACGTTGGACAGTAGTGCTGAATTGCTGAAAATAGCAGGGGGGTACGGCTCTCTGATGTTACCGTACCCAACGAAGCTATGCATCAGAGAGGGAAGCCAAGCCTGATCAGCTTGGTGTACCTGCAAGTGTGTCTGCAAGTGTCTCTGCAAGTGATATGGCTTGGGGCTAAGCCTAGAACCCCAATGGAAATCGAATGTGCAGGTTTGGAGGAGTTTGCCTTGTACAGTGAATAAGTCTGAGATCAAGCGAAGATGAGCCTTGAGGCCAGATTGGTACCGGACCCCCTGGAAGCTTCATGCTTTCGAGATACATCAAGCTGTGCTTGATAACCAAATTGATTAGTGGCTGCGCGATGGATGTCTAAGTGTGTCCCAGGTAGTTACAAGCTGGTCTTGTATTCGTTTACCGCGCTACCTGCGGCGGGGTTAGCCCGTGCGAGTACCTGCCAGGGTGGATCTGATAAAGGCAGGGATACATTGTTTTGGGCCCGTCGTGGTCCTCACAGATTCGACTGAATTTGCTGCTCCGATGGTGCAGACATCTGATTACCTCAGTCGTGATGTTTTCTCCGCTCCTGACTTAATGTCAGGTTTGATGCCAGGTTTCATTGCAGGTCCTGAATTTTTGCAGATCCGATGGAACCAACGGCTTTTCTATCCGCAGACCACGATTTCAGCTCCGAGACACAAGCCTTTAGCAATCTCTTGCGATCATGTCGTGGACCCGTGAACAAGATTGGGCCAAGTCGTCCTGGGCTAGTTCGTCTTGGGAGAAGAAAGGATCGTCGGGTTGGAACAACCGTGACTGGCAAAAATCTCCTCAACAGTCTGTTCCCAGCGCCAATGTTGCCATCCCATCGTCTTTTACCAGTGACTGGGAGTGTTACGACAAGAATGCTATTTCTGGCAAGAAGTTCTTTCGTAACATCCAATCCACGCCCTGGTCTACGAAAGCTGGACTGGCTGGAAAAGATGTCGCCGATCTTCGTGTTTCAGACCTGACGAGAAAAGGTCTTGATGACTTCAGTCTCCGCTGTTTGTCCAATGGAGAATTTCAAAGCTTAGTGTTCGTGAGGTCGATTTCAGAAGCAGTGTTTGTGACTAACCTGCTTCGTCACATCCGGCAAGACCGTATCGATCTTGATGCCGTGGCTGCAAATATGCACGGCCCAGCTCCGCCTGATAAGCACAGGGAGTCTGCGAGATTTATGCAACCATTGCTCGGCGAGATTGTTTCAACAATCAAAGCCAACTCGCCCCCTTCGGCGGATTCAAACCAGCCATCGCCTGAGAGTGAACAGCTTGCTCGTGCGAAGCGAAAGTTGAAGGAAGCTGGGATTGCTCTTACTCCAGAGAAGAAGCAGGCCAAAACTGGCCCAAAGCCCACCGCTTCACCATCACCGTCAGCTGAGCAGATTTTGAATGCGGAACTCCAGAATCCGCCGAACTCTGTTCCGAGTTCCAGCTCTCCTGATGTCGTTGAGAAATGGCTCAAGAAGCATCAGAGCCAGTTTCGTGGTCAAGCTGCAGCTTTTAAGAAACATGTGGCTGATGTTTGCTCTGTGCTGAAAGATTCAGCTACTGATCGACAAAGCCAGGCAGATCTTGCTATCAAGTACGGCTTGAAGAAAAGCCATGCCGGCAAGATGTCATTCACCAATTTGTCTTCGTTCATTGGTGCATGTCAGTTTGAATCAGCTTGACTAGCTACCCAAGCAAAAACGGTGCAACACCAGCCGATTCAGGTCCGTAAGAGGCTTGCTTCAGCAGTGTGCACGCTTGGTACAGCAGCAGCCTTCATGTTGGAGTTTGGCGATGGAATACCCAAGGCTCCGCTGATTTGGGTGCATACATTGATGTCGTTGGTGTTGTTGTTTTACCTCAATGCACCCAGCCAAAATGATTCGCACAGATTCAAGATTGTTCGGAGATTGCAGCAGTTCGGAGTGGATCCAGATACTCTGCACTATTCTCTGTTTGAGAAGCCGAACACTGTATATTGCATTTTTCAAGTTGATTTCGACATGGGTCGATTTCGTTCGGGCTACCGTCAGCCCTCATCACTTCTGTATGTGGGAAGCACTGCTGTCGGTGCAGCCAAGCGGCATTTGAACCGCATGGCAGTCTACAGAAGACTTCAAAGAACCGAATTTGTGGATGCAGAATTGTCCCTGAGATATTGGGCATCCCAACACAACCTTTTCCAGTTTGTGCTTGTTCCGCTGGAATTTTGTGACAGTTACCAGCGAGCTTGGACTGTTGAGCACGAACTCATTGCTCAATGGCAGGCACCTTTGAATTATCCCAGAGCAATGTCTCTCATTAAGAAGACCGCTCTTGGTTTCCGGATTTCGTCCAAACGCAGAGGGTCATTGTATTGTACCTTTGGACTCCGACTCTGGCGCAAACTGCGAAAGCGCATGTTTGGTCGCAGTTCGAAATTCTTCATTCATGCTTCTCGGGAGTTAGCCTGGGGGCTGCTGTTCAAGTTGGCATCGAGAACCCGAGCATCCTTTGAAACAGCGAAGCTGCTCCGATCCAATAAGACGGCTGACGAGGAAGTGTATGCCCTCCTCAAGCTCAGTCGCAATATCGAAAACCCTCATCGCAACAGGGTGCAAGGAATACTCAAAGGTGTAGTCAAGTTTCGCAAGAAGATGCACTGGCCACGGACTTCCCGACCTTTGGGAGTCCTGCCAACTGCGTCTCCTTCGTTTTCCAAGGAGTGCGAGAAGTGGTTAAAAGACCTCATCCTCCGGTACAAGTATCTTTTTCCATCTTTTCATGTTCCAAAGAACAGCCTACGTGAAGTTCCGCACCAGAGTATCAAGAAATTTCTCCACAACTTCCGATCTTGGGAAGAAACGATGTGGGAGCACGACTTTGATTTGGAGTCGGTGCACTGTCCGTGTGAGCAGTTTGCAGGAAAACTTCCTGCTCATTGCTTCGTGTCTGGCCACGTAGCCACAGGTTTGGAGAACCTGACCAAGCTACTACCAGGCTGTTCGAGCATCTTATCGGCCAGTGCCGCGAGCACCTTTTTCCCAGGCCGCAATCACTGGATGGCCAAGTCCAGAGCTCTGTTTGATCAGTGGCTCAAAAGACACAAGCTACCAGCCACGTTGCATCCAATTTTTCAATCCTTTTGTGATCACCAGTGGCAGCAACACGTTGCAGCCCTGGAACAATCAGACAGACTACACTGGGCTTTGGTACAGAAGGTGAAGTCTGCCTTGCACTCGGATTTTGTTCTGTACAACGAAGATCATCATCCGAATCATGTCGTGTGCTATTGTCCTCGCTTCTTCCTTCGAGGAGTTAGCACCACATGGAACGATCCGTCTGTGTTTCGTACTCTTGATGGTACCCCTGAAGAATGGAGACAGCGCATTTTAAAGCGCGTTCCTCGAGATCTGTCCAGAAGATACGCCTGGGCCTTCAAAGAAACAGCTCCACTGCCCCAGGGCACTGTGTTCCTGAAACGGAAAAAACAGTTTGCCAAGGGACGGACTATCATTTCGTATTCCAATTCGTTGTGCAGCAAGCTGTTGGAGCTGACTTCCATTGCGTTAACCTTAATGGTCAAGACGCTGTTTGCTGACAGCCCAGGCATGCAGAGCATGCCACAGCTCTGGAAGTCTCTTCATGCTTATTGGGCGAAGCCCAGTCAAGAGGAAGACGTCGAATGGAACGACGATCTCGTGGGATTTTTCAATGCAGTTCCCCGAAAAGACATCATGCACGCAGTGCATTTGATTGTCCAGGAATACTGCCAAACTTCTGGCTGTTCGATCCTTTCGATCGGTATGTTGTCAAAAACGGGACACCCGGGCAAACCTCGGGGGCGAACAAAATCAAACTTGAAGAGGTGTTGGGTTTCTGATGTTCCGCTGATTGTGGATCTATCCTTCGCCACGGGAGTTTTTACAGCTGCTGGAAAGTGCAGGCAGCAAGTGGAGGGGACGTGTATAGGCAATCAAATCTCGCCGATCCTCTCCGGACTTCCTGTACTCCTGGCCGAGCGGCAGTTTTTGCAATCTTTGCCGACAGCCATCCAATCGTCTTTCTTGTTTCTCCGTTACGTCGATAACAGACTGATTCTGGGACCTCAGAAAATTCTACTGTACTGTCGTCCCAACTCCGGAGATTCTGCGATCCCAACTTTTATGATGGGATTCAGTTGGAAACTGTGTCAGACCATCAATGGTTGGGTTTTACCATTTGTGCCAAGACTCGCTCAGCAACTTTTAATCTCCCGGAGCAACCGTGGCAGATCCGCTCGCCCAACAGCGCTGGATCGTGGCAGCTGGCAGCCTCGGGATACTTTTCTCGAGCATCTTTGATTCGCCAGTATTCCTGGCCCCCCGAGTCAAGACCGGGACAACTTCGCAGACTCAAGCAACTGTATGTACAGGCAGGTTTTCCTGTGAATGCGTTGCAATGAAGTCAACAAACAAGCCATTCGATTGAGAGTTTCGCTGCTTCTTTGCAATGTTGTTGTTCCTAATGTGCACGTGAGCTACTGATTCAGTACCATAGCTACATTGGTTTTCAGCTGGGTATCGGCCTGTTGAAGGAATATTTCAACCCCGAGCCATGGCCCAGCAATACCATTTTCACTTCTACGGAGGACCCCCTGGAGTGCAGACTTCAAGCGGACCACAACCTCCGGTTACAATTCTTTCGACTCCTCAGGAAGCTAGCAGAGCTCGGTCGGTTTCGGTACACCCACCACCTCGAGCTCCGCTTCCAATTCAACTCACACCGGGTGAGCCGGCCAGGTCTACTCACCCCAGCCGTGAGCGTCATGATCGCAGTCGCTCGAGACGACGACGGCGTCGACACCATCGGCATGAACGTCAACCTGAGGGACCTCCCGCGGCCCCAGTTCGACCAGTTCTGCCTCCCCCTCAGCCTCCCACTCGACCACCAACAAGGTCGGTCAGTGCAGTTCCTCCGATGCGCCCACCTTTTCGTTCTGCCAGCTTAGAAAACATGCCACCCCGGCCTAGACCGAGATCTATTGAGCCGGCTTCTGTCCGTTCCCGGCCTCATGAAAACAAAGGGCCCAGCAACAGTCCACAGCGACCGCCGGGGCAATGGGTACCTACTGTTCCTGCTGGGACTCTGAGCCAAAGGCCAGTAACACCCAGAGTTCGAGCTCCTGCTTCACATTCTCAAGCAGCTACTGATACATTACATCGGGCTGCTCAAGCTTTTGGAGCTCCCGGCAATGCACAAAGCAAACCGGAGACAGGCCCGATTTTGAATAACAAGGAGCCTGTTGCGGCAGCTCCC